TCTATCGGTGCCTGGCATCAAACTATCGAAGAACTCGGTGATCAGAAGAAGTCTACTGGCTCAACATGAAGTTCTTTATGCTTGGAATATTTCTTACAATTCTGCTTGCTTCCTCCCAGCAAGGTATGACCAAATCAATATTATATCTAATGTGGATGGAGCCGTGGAAGCATGTTTGTAATGCACACACCACGAGGGAGCATGAGAGTTTTTATAGCCAGCGGATTATGGCATTTTTTGTGTGGATTTTCGGATTTCCAATATTTTTAATTGCTTTAGATCATCCAAAACGTAAAAATGCGAATTTTTAAGGTACTTGTGCATGATTTCTAACGATTTTTCTCGTCGGTTTTTAATGCTCCCGTCTTATAGAGTCAGAGTCCAACAGCAATAGGTTGATTCTTGCTAACACTTGAGATGATTTGCAAACTGAAGTGGACTATAGTTGGCCGGGCTGATCTGATTGAATTGCTCGTATCGCCAATTTTTACCCGCGATTTACTGTTTCTTTAGTTATAATGTGTGCTTTGTGTTGTCACGCGATGCTTTCCTCTTGAAATTTTTTATCGGCCTCGATATTAAAAGACCATAAACCATTATTTAATGCTGCTACATTTTTAAGTCAACCAAGTGATATGCTTTACGCTTGCATTTGCTTTTGAAGCAGCTAGATTCATTAAAATATGTATCTTGGCGTTTTCTCCTCGAATTAACATGCCAAGTCACGCACTCTTCGGGCACCTTTAATTCCCTCTCACTTATTAACAGCCGAAGGCCTGGAGTGCTACAAGTGCAATAGCACCAAGTCATCGGACGACTGCGGTAGTAACATGAAGAAGACGACATGTAAAAGTGGTACAACAGAATGTTGCGATGGTGTCTACTCAACAACGGTTAGTTTTACAGCGAAAACAACAATCCACCGGATTTGAATACGACCATCGCATAGCGCAGCAGGAACGCCACCAGTGCTGTTATTCTTTTGGTTTCAGATTGTGGTCTTCCGAAAA